GGATGCTGAGGCCAGGAGAGTAGAAAACGCCAGAGAGAAAGCTCACACCAGCTATGGAAGAACAGGCATGTCTATTCAGGATATTTGTGAGGGAATCACAGAAGCACTCACCCTTAAATTGAACTGGAACCTGGATGGCTGAGGCGAGAATCCCTGGTGAGAGGCTAACAGTTGAGCAGGCCAAATGGTCAAGGGTTTTGTGTGAGGATGAAGACTGGACTTTGTACAGATTTGGATAGAGGAGTTGGGGGCTGGAGATAGGAAACAGCTGGAACCACTGGAGAGTCGGGGACAGAAGACTCAGTGATCCGATGCCTACATAGAAAGGGTAGGAAAAGGTAAAACTCAATAAAGACATGGAATTCAGGGGTCTGGGAGGTGGAGGAGGTCCTAGGTTGATAGGCCCTCCTATCAATGGCGAGCAGGCAGAGTTAGAAATAGTAGGGGTGGGAGGTGGGCGGATCAAGAAATCTGATGGGCAAACACAGCAGCAGTTTGAATTGGTTCACCATGTCACATCAGGGGAATCTTAACTTCCTGGGTTACAGTGCTCGATCTTCAGACAGAACACCAGAGATGATGAAGACCACCTCAGGCTGCTTTGCAGATGGTATGTCTGCCAAAGGCCCAACACTCATCTCTTCCAGTGCCACTCTACAGACTCATATTTTTTCATTTCCCTTCTTGGCATTTTCCCTTGAAAACGTCTAGTCAGTGTTGCATTTTTCTACTAATGCCTTCCTGAATTGAAAATCTTCCTATAACAGACCCATTCCTAGAGGGTTGTTGATGAAGTTGGTATCTCCCCATCCCTGGCTTAGGTCAGCAGCTACAGAAATCAGAGCAATAATCCTGTGGTGTTAGCCAGGAGAGACTGAGGCTGCAGCCAGGCCTTCCCCCAGTACCCTTCGGCCAGCATGATGCAAGGCAGGCGAGCCTGAGAAACTTTGTTTTCTCTCTTTCATAAGAGAACATCTGAAGCTTCCATTCTTTCTGGTAGCAAAATCAGCATTTGGCAAGAAAGCTTGTGATGAGCCAAGAACATTTATCACTGGAGAAGGGAGACACAGAAATGCATTATTTCTGCAACATCTATTTTGCCAGATCATTTCACACAAACACCAGGAAGAGAAAAGCACTACTTCACTGTCAGAACACTTAATGTTGTTCATACATTTGGGTCATTTTTTTCCCTATGTGATAACTGCATATCTAGGAGTGAGTGACCTGCAGCAGCCCAGAAAGTATCCCCTGCCAGAAGATTTCTGAGCAATCCCAATTTACTGGGGTACAAGCCAGAAAAGGAAGCTGGACTCGGAATACAATTGACATCAGGGGAAATTTTTTAAAAGAAAAAAACTACTTCTGCAAAGAAGTATAGACGCAGGGATAGATGCAAAGAAGAATAGACAGCCAAAGAGCTGTGTATTTAAAACTGATCTCTTGGCCAAGTTTTTTCATCGAAAACGGAAATGGGATTTTGAGAGTCCTTTCTAATCAAATCACTAAATGAGAATTGATGGAAGAAGGTTCCAGGGCAGAAATGGTCAAACAAGGACCCACCCATTTCTACCTAAGAACTGAGAACTTGCCGCAAAGACAAATAATTTGATAAAAATTGATCTGCTTCACCATCTTCCTGTAAGCCTGGTTTGTTATATAAGAATTGAAGATTATTCAGGCTATAGAGATAATACAGTGGGTAGAGCACTTGCCTTTCATTCTGTTTACCAGGCTTCAATCCTTGCCACCCCATATGGTCCCTGGAGCCCCACCAGGAGTGGTCCCTAAGCACAGATTAAGTCCTGAGCACTACTGGGTGTGTTCCAAAAACAAACAAAAAGACAATGCCTCATGTTCCTACCTTAAAGTTCGATTTTGATTCTGATTTTCAACGCTCCTATCTCTGAAAGCAACACAATAAAAGAAATACACTCATCAAAGCAATCACATATTTGATGATTCAGTCAAATCATCAAATAATCATATGCCAACTCAAAAAGGCGGTCAAAACTATTTCATTAATCCAACAAATACTTAAAAGGAGTATGCCATGTGCCAATGAGGCAGGAAGGGACAACTGAAAAATCCTTAAACTGAGCTAGGAGTAAGAAGAGGACCAGCAGATTCTTGTCCACATAGAGAAGGAAAGGGACAGGGAGGACCGACAGAGAAGAGATGCTGAGGTTCTTGATTAAAGATCCAGGCAATTAGGGATTGAGGGCTATAAAGAGACTAATTTTTGAGTTTATTATTTCATAACAGTAAGTAGTAAGTTGGAGCAGGGTTGCACTGATCATTTCAATATAAACCTAAGTGCTTCACCCTCATGATATCATACATAGTCCATCTCCCTGATCTCCTGCTGAGTCATACATGCCCATGGTTTGTGCCTGAAAAAATCTTCCTTCAAGCACTGATTCACTTTTCAACTTTGATCCATTTTGTTTCTCTGTATCCCAAAGCCTGACTCCAGACCACCATTAATTTCAGAATTATTTCAGGCAGAGATGTATTCTGCCGGCACTGTGGATACTAGGTTGACATTATTTTTATTCTATTTACTCACCCTTTGAACTTTGTATTTTGGGTACTGGGTCAGTCTTGACTGTTAGCTTTTGGACCATATCTGGAAGGCAAGATAGAACCCCCAGGATTTTTGAGTCCAAAGATTTTGACTGGCATTTGAACTTGGTAAAAGTTCCAGTCATTGGTACTGCAGTTTTATTCATGTAACAGAGGACGCTGTTAGCTTAAGACAGGGTTGAGTCTACTGGAGTCCTGTATCTCAGGCAATTTAGCTAAGCTACCAAGGGGGAGAGTTCATATTTATATGTCCATAGAGCAATGTAGAGTCACCCTTGCACATCCCTTGCATATAATATCATAGCCATTTTGCAACAAGCTTCATGCAGAGAAGTCCCATGAGTGTCTTATGGGATGGTAGGTGACCATACCTTTCCTTATCTGATGACACAACCTATGAGGTCAGTAGAGATGAGCTGGTGGGAAGACCTTGAAGTTTAGAGGAAGAGTGCCAGTTTCTTCCAGGACTTTAAACCAGGCTGATTTAGTCAAGGATGAGGAGAAGCCTAACAGGAACATTGATTTTCTAGCTGTGGTGTCAGATCAAAGCTTGAGAAAACACCCAAGAGCTTTATGGGATTGGGAAGAAGCCTATCACTTACAGTGTGTTCTGCTGTGGGACCATGCAGTGCAGATCAGAGCATCTTATGAATAATGAAACAGAGATTTGTGTTGGGCCAGATCAGGTGGTAAAATATAGAAACTTACCTCTTCAGGATAACTTAATTGTGAGAAACTCTAAGCGCTTACGCCTATTATTCACATCATACAGCTCAGTGCTTAGTCTGGTGTCAGGTAGGCACATACACACACATATGAACACACATGCATGTACACACATCCATGTGAACACACAACCACAAACATACACATGCATAATCCCTTTGTTGGGGCGAGGAAAGATTAAACCCCTGAGCCTCTTCCCAGTTTACATTTTTATGAAGAAAATCCACTTCCACGTAGACATATATGCCATTGAATATAGGAGAGCTTCATGGACCCACTTAGATATGCTCTTGAGCTTAAGGGCTCCTAAGATGATCTCAGGGGTATTATAGGGTTTTATGAGCCACTTTGAAAACTGTTGGCTTAAAAAGATAAATTACCAGGGTATGTGATAGACTCTCAATGCAAATTTTCTTTGGGATTTCCTTAAACTGTGGATCAAAACAGTCCATTATGAGAATACTAAGAAACATCTTATATTGTTTGTAAGTAAATATTAAATCAGTGGATTTATGGGGGTTTTTTTGTGCTTACTATACACATTCTTTTTGGTGTGGAAAGCACATAGAACATCCTTGGTAATTGAATTACATTAAATTGAACTGAATTGAAATACTAAATTCCTTAATAAGGGTTCTAACATTTTAGAGTGTTTGTAAGATGCTCTGATACTCAAAGAGCGAGCATATACTTACTGTAAAAGACCAGAAGATACATATTTGAATATGTGGGCCATTTGTTCTCTGTTGTAACTGTGTGATGTAATTTGAATTTATGTACAAATTGTACATGATATTTTTCTCAATAAATGTTTATTTATAAAAATAAGTTTTGGATTAGATTTGGCCCAGAGTCATAGATTACTGACTTTTGCAGAAGTTGTACCTTAGAGTCATAAGATATTTTTCCCTAAGGTTTTGATTTTGCTCATAGAAAAAAATGAGTTAGAGGTATTCAAGATACAAACAAACAAACAAATACTAAAAACCAAAAGCAACCCAATCCAGAAAAGTTTAATTTTTTTTATGAATTATCTGAAAAAGTCAGTTTTCCTTGGTTTTGACTGCAATATAGCTAATGAATCTGGGACAGTCCTCCAGAGGAAAGGCTGGGCCTGGTCAAGTTGGAAGTGTGGAGTTGGCTGTTCTCAAGAATCGAGGAAAATGGGTAATAAAGAGTTTGGCGACTTTAGGGCTTATTTCTTTCTTGGTGCTGGCGAAATTTCTGAAAGAGCCATAGACAGTTTTCAACATGTCTTTCAAGTTAGCTTAACAATATTAAAATACATCCAGTTCCCCAGATCCCACAGAATCACTGTATCACTGCCCTCCCCGTTGTTCATCGATTTGCTCAAGCGGGCCCAGTAACATTGTGAAACTTGTTGTTATTGTGTTTGGCATATCAGATACTTCATGGATAGCTTGCCAGGCTCTCCGAGAGGAGCTGAAGAGTCGAACTTGGGTCGGCCATGTTGAATACCTCTAACTCATTTTTTTCCACGAGCAAGGCAAACGCCCTACCCGCTGTGCTATCTATCGCTCCTGCTCCAGGGTGATCCCACAGAATAGCTATGTTATAACTTTACCTGTCTTTGCTCTGTGCCATATACGTGTTCTTATATCTCAACAGGAGTGGGGGATGTTTTGTGGTGTCATTTGCTCTTCTTGAATGTTCCTATTTTCTTACAGAAATACAAAGAGTATGAGAAAGATGTTGCCATAGAAGAGATTGATGGGCTCCAACTGGTGAAAAAGCTGGCCAAGAACATGGAGGAGATGTTTCATAAAAAGTCTGAAGCAGTTCGAGTAAGTGCCAGTGGGTTCTTATATATGTTGTTTAAAGATACAAGGGCAGCTTTGGAACTGGCATTGGTGAGCCCAACTCTGAAAGATTCAAGTTGCCTCAGCTGAATTCTCGGGAGATTAGTACAGCGGGCAGAGCACTTGTCTTGCCTGCATCCTACTTGATTTCAACCTCTGACACCCCATATCATTCCCCAGACACCTCCAGGAATTATCCCTCAGCACAGAACCAGGAATAAGCCCTGCGCACTGCTGGGTATGACCCCTCCCAAATAACAAAACAAGTTGATTCAGCTTTCATGTAACATTTTTTCTGAGGTCTGGTTAACCAGAGGTAGAAGGTTTTTTTTTTTTCTTTTTGGATCACACCCAGCGATGCTCAGGGGTTACTCCTAGCTGTGCTCTCAGAAATAACTCCTGACAGTGCTTGGGGGACCATATGGGATGCTGGGGATCGAACCCGGGTTGGTCACATGCTAGGCAAACACCCTACCTGCTGTACTATTGCTCTGGCCCAGAGGAAGAAGTTTGGAGGACCAGGATTGCCCTTTCTGTAGAGAACTCAGGTACCAATTTCTTTTTGGTATACTTTCATACCTTTAGTGAAGGTAGCAGTCATAGTACAACTGCAGAGAATGGTCTGTATCTGTGTGATATATATTATATATATTTTTTGTTAAAAATTTTTTTAATAGTGAGATGTATATTTTAATTGTGGAAAATATTTCAAAGACACATTGTGGTTCAGTTCAGTACCCCAAAACAGTTTATGCTATGTTTGCAAAAATTAAATTCTCAGTAGGTAAATGACTCTAGAAGAAGCCAGGATTTCTCTTTAGCATTATTGGAATTTCACTGTTATTATAGCATTTGTTCTCACTGGTGAGAGCTCTCTGAAATATCATACTGCATTATGACAAATGGACGTGCTTTGGGGTTGGATTCCCAAAGGGTTTCCAGCTTTATTGTTGCCCACTAACCAAAATATATTAGGTTCTGGATTTCAGAGTAATGGGTGTTGCAATATCCTACATTAATGCCATACTGGCACTAGGGAAAGGGATTGCAATTTGATTCTTAAATTTTTTTTCAGTGTATAGTTAATGGATAGTTACTTTTACTTACAGCTAAGGACATGTGTTCATAGTTACTTTCTTGTATTCTTTTGTTTAAGGGACACTTCCTATTTTAATTTCTCTCAAACTTAGTTGGGCAAATCAAATCTCTACAGGTTATTTATGCTTCAGATCTGATACGCTCACATGTTTTCTCTAAGTCATTTTTGTACAATTTAGATTCAAGTTAAAAGAGATAGTAATGTAGGTAAGAACAAGCATTTTATCTGGGTTGAGCATTCACATGTCTTTATTATTAACTGAGCTTCAAACTTTGCAAAAAAGTAAAATAGTCTTCATGAATTTCAGTATTCTCTCCTATAAAATGGAAAATACTCCTAGAGGGAAAATGAAGATCAAGCATAGTTGTTATTTTGAACTATTTAATTCAAATCTTAACTGTTATACTTAGCACTACAAGGAACGTTGTGCCATAATACTGCCAAATTGATACTTTTTCTGTTTGGGGGTTAGATGCCAAGAAGTTGAATTGTTGGGTCACATAGAATCTCTGTTCTTTTCTGTTTGTTTGTCTGAGTAATTTCCCTGCTGTTTTCCAAAGCAGTTGTACCAGATGACAAATGAACGCCCCCTTTTCATCATTATTCTCACCAATGCCAGTTGTACTCAGTCTTCTTCATAGATTCCATCCTTGCTGGTGTTAGATGGTTATATTACCTGCTTCTTTTGAAATCGTTGTTTTTGTTTTACTTCTGTGTCTGATTATAGTGTGAGCATTTTCTTGTGTCTCACAATTCTGTGCTTTCTTGGAGAACACGCCAGTCTATGGATGGTAATGACGTGATAGTTTTTCTACATTTTCTTATTTAAGTTGTTTGAGTGTTTTGATATAAATAATGCGCAGTGAATCTTCTTGATTATTAACAAAAGGTCAGCCAACTCTGAGTTCACTCCATGTTGGGTGCTCCTCTAAGTACATCTTTGTATGTACTCACTCGTCCTTAGAACAACAGCTCTTATAAAGATGGAGGTTATGGAGAATTAGCCCCATTTTACAAAAGCAAAGACTGAGGGACAGAAATCTCTTCTCTAAAACCACCTGGAGAGAGTGAAAAGGACTCCAGGCAGATGCATTCCTGATTCCCCGAGGAGGGGATAAAGTCCCTAGGATGAATGCATTTCCTGAAGATGAATCTCCAAAAGTTCGCATTAATTCCTTACAGCAGGATTAGTGAGTGACTTGAATTCTGGTTCTAACACCCAGAAAAGATTTTAAAAAAAGTTTTACTTTGATTTAAACGCTAGTTAAAGAAATACCAATTTGGGTGGGGTGGGGCATTGCTATTATTCTTTCAACTTAGATTTTTATGTGAATCACAGAAGTATTGTTGGTTCTGTTTTTTGTTTTAGTTTGGGGGCCACAACCAGCAGCTCTCAGGGTTTTTCTCTGACTTTGTGCTTAGAGATCACTCCTAGTGGGGCTTAGGGGACCATGCTGGGACGCTGAAGTTCAAACCCACCTTGACTGCATGCGAAGCAAGCACCCTACCAACTGTACTGACTATTGGCCCCCCAGGTTTTGTTTTTTGCGGTTTACAGATGAGGTCTGGAATTTCTGTACCTCCTTACAGATGCCCCCTTCCCCTGGAAATGGGGTGTTAGACATCTATATTTGTGTAAGGAAAGTATCATTTTCCAGGTCTGTCATGAAAGATGCCCAACTACCACCTGGGACTTTGTCCCTGAGAATTTCTGAGAATCTCACTTCTATCCCTTTGTGGAGGCTGGTGAGGAACTGTACCTCTTCTCCTCTCTACCTTACTGCAGGTGTTAGGAGAAATCAGTGGCTTGTTAGTCTAGACTTTTGTGTATTGAGTTCACTGTGCACCAGACCAGGTACAAGCAGTCGATACGATACATAACTATTGAATTTATTCCTGTGTGAACCCTGCCAGTGCCACGCTGTTACCTTTTTTGGGTTAGATAGGCACACGGGCTTGGCAGGGGAGGTCCAGTGCTTGGATTACAGGGCAGGCTCAGTAGAGCACTTAGCTCTGGGCAACAGGATTGCAGGACTTCTGAAGAGAGTTTAGCACAGCACCCTGTAGGGAAGAAACTTTGAGTCTATGTTTGCTATTACTGCTGGTGAATGGGGCCTACCAGGAGTCAGCATGAAACAGTGAGGGAGTCTGGACACTTCTGGAAACTGCTGGATGACACCAGGAGGGAAATGGTTCCGGAAATCTTTTTGCTTTAAATGATTAAGATTAAAACAAAGAAGACTTAACAGGGTTGTGTGGTTCTCTTTGCAAAGGCAAAAATAAATAAATGAATAAAGTTGCTCTGCTGTATTGAAATCTATACTCAGAGCAAAGGCATCAAGAATTCTCTGATATGTGTATTTTATGTATTTTAAAATAGATATATCAGACCCATTGTAAGCATACTTGGTACCTTAAAGTCTGGGTTAATGAGTCCAATTATTTGTGGCCCTCCCCACTTACAGTATTAATTTGTTTATTTATTTTGCTTTTGGGTTATACCTGGTGATACACGGGGATTACTCTTACCCTCATCCAAGAATCACTCCTGACGGGGCTTGGGGGATCTTACGGAGTGCCATGTATTAAACCGGGATTGGCACTGTATAAAGCTAGAGCCCTACCTACTGTCTTGTTTCTTCAGTTGCTGTTTTCAATATTTAAGCAGGGAAGACTGTTTGTGCATCAACTTGCAGTTTCATCTGGACAGTTTTGATGCTGAGGTGGGCTGGGTCCCTGTTCCGAGGTCTGTTCATGAGAGGAAGGGACCTCCCATAGGCTTCCCTCCTGTTGATATCTGCTAAGGCTGGGGTGGGCTTGGAGTGACTTCTTATTATAATGACATCTCTCTCCTCAAACAGAAGAAGGTTGCTATTTATCTATGGAATGTGTGAGAGCATGTGTTGAGTGAAGATCTCAAATCCATATGTGCCTGTGGTTTGGTCATGGAGTCATTCTTCATGGTATTGCCTTTTTCCTCCTGTACCCCCACGGAGTAGACACCCCTTTCCCAAATAATCCATGAAAGGGCTTTAGCATTTGCTCCATCACACTGCCTAGCAATCTCCCATTTCCACACCCCATCCCACCCCCAGTGAGCTGGAGCAGGTAAGAGTAGGCCCTTGTAGTTGCCCAAGTACCTTTTTGCCAGTAACAGACTCAGTGCCACAGCTCGTAGATGATGGATGGCTGCGAGCACTGGACAACATATATAGAACAGGCTGGCCCACACATACCATTGATTGTGAACATTTCCATTTGTGAATATCAAATATTTATGAGACTGGCAATAGCAATGTAGAAAATTGCACTAATACTGTTATAGGTAAAAGTAGGTGCAGTTAATGCTGTGGGGGAGAAAGGCTACAGTAACCAAGTCCTTTAACATGCCTGTCATTTCTTAGCTGTTAAACAGAGTTGATCTTTTCCTCTATCTCTTCTGGCTTGATTTCATCATTTTTTCCCATTACTTTTTTCCCCCCAGTGATTAGTTGAATCAGAGTGATTTTTATCATACTCGTCTCCTATTTGAATTACTTTCCACTATGCAATTATCCTATCACAGAAAGTCCTATTTTCTCCCTGTCAGATGTCTGAAATAAATGTGAAACCTAAAGTGGCCTGCCCATTACATAACCTCTGTCATCTGCTTGGTAATGGACTATATGTAACTTTCTTTTTTTCCAGGCTAGCAAATTACGAATAACCTTAGCTTCAATAATTGCCATTAACATAATGGTGCCATTATTATGGTAGCACTTCTTAACTAATATTTTCTAGCCCTTTTTAATGCCTCTGGTAGTTTAAAGAATTTTTTTCAAATACTCTCGGTGGCTTGATGTTGGACATTTTAACTTACAGCCAAATGGGACTCCATGCGCAATGC